TTTGAAATCGGATGAGTAGTTTCGGAGATTACCCGCTGCAAAGAAACTTTTACATACATACATGCATACATACAAACATTACCTCTTTATGATATTAGTATAGATTTCTTCCAGCATTGCAAGATTTGGCTACATTGCGACAAATGTGCCTACTAGTTTTTAATTTGACGTAAAAAACATCATTTGTCGCTTTGGCTACTTTTTGGACTACATATTATTTATAAATATATTAGTTCAATAAAAATGCGCTTTAAAATAGTGTTTCGTCTCTTTTTATTAATTAGAGACCCAAATAGAACAAATATTTGTGTTTTTGAAATAAATTTTCGTTTGTCTCTTTTATAACATTTTTATAATAAATTTATCTATTTCTAAGTAAAAATTGAAAGTGTCCGAAGAAGTAATTTTTTAAAATCTCCTTTTTTCGTGATAAAGATTTAATACTTATATTTATAATCTAGACACGTTAATCCTAAAATTTACTTTTATATTGGGCCACAAATATATATTATATATACTTTTGGCCCAAAAATCTTTGACTACTTTCAATGCGGCCCAGAGAAACAAAAAGGTTGGACACTCCTGGTCTAAATGGTATCATTAAAATCACAACTTTATTACGTTTAAAATGAAGTAAAAATGGCTAAAACAGCGAAGAGAAAAGACAGCGCGATTCTGACCGAAAATAGGATTGTTACGTTATACAGTATTAATACGTTTATATTAATTTAATGTATTCTTTGTTTCATTCCTATTCAAAATTCTTTTAATTGTGAGCATTGCCAATTAACATTACATCATCCGATAGAAAGAAGGGACCGTTATAGATTATGATTGAAATTAATTCGACCGAAAGTAGTCGTCGACCTCCTCCCGGAAGCCAGGATGATCAATCACTACTAATTAATACTAGGGTAATAGTAATTAATAGTAAGTTAATTGATATGTAGAAATCCAATCGATTTTTTGGAGTGAGATGTAGGACATGATCTAAGTTAGAAGTATATGAAGGTAACTTCCGAGTTTCGTATCAATTGGCCAACGACCTAGTCGTGCGTAGCGAACAAACCCGCATCCCCATTTATACATCTGTATATATAAATAAGGATGTCTGTTTGTTCCCTACACACTCCCAGGCAGTTCGACCGATTGCTACGAAACTCGGAAGTTACCTTCATATACTTCTAACTTAGATTATGTCCTACATCTCACCTCTAAATATCGATTCCATTTCTATAAATCGATTAATTTTTATTTACACTCGATTTTCTGAGTTACACGTAGCACCATCTGTTGCCAATAAAGTTGACAAATTAATTAACTAAATATAATTCTTACAAAAAATATACTGTATTATATATTCACTGAATTACTGCGGCAATGATATAGCGCGAAATAGATGCGCCATTACGCCATTACTGCGACTGGTAGCGCATAGCACTTGCCTGCGCGGAGTGTAGTAGTGTTTTTCCCCCTGTACATCGTACATTTTCTGTTAGTAATGGAGTCGTGCCTGCTATGTATGTAATTCCATTCGGTGGAAAATTTTCTTGTTGAAGTACGAATGACTCGCGATACAAATCGGAAGCTCGTATATAGGCAATTTAGTCCCTTTTCTCTTACGATTTCCACGTCTAGTCTCGACGTTCATCTGTCGATCTCTGTTCCCGAGATTAAGGAAGGTCGGACGGACGACTGGAAATTTATAGCTCTACAGTTTTTCAAATTGCAGCGCAGTAAGTAGGGGAAGGTGGGGCAAGATGAGAACGTTAAGGTTTGAAAATTCATGAGATGACANTATATTGTGTACAGGGACTATTAGGGCTTCAGCCCTTCGCCCCCGATGTCAAGGGCCCAAAAAATTGAATTATTATCATAAATTTTTTATACTTTTTCATCACGTAAATTTTCGTCCGATGGAGATTATTATTATTTAATAAAATTGAAGATGTAGAATACAAATGTAGATGTAGAAAAAAATGTGGATTTTTAAAATGTACATTTTCCAGCGCCTAATCGCAGAGAAAATAAATGCTGGTCCCTTTTGGGCAGACTTTGTCTTCAATTTTATTAAACTTTATCATTGTATTTCATGTGTAGATGTAAGGGGTTTTATAATAATCCATACTTTTTTATTCACATCAAATAACGATTCTGCCTATCGTTTAGTGCTAGAGATGGGCCTAAATTCTTATTATAACTTTTAGCGTGCTCAAAAATTTTAGTCAGGATTCGCCCCTCGGCTTTATACAGGATCGCTAAGTCTGATAACCGCTTAAAACTCGTCCATCTCGTACACCACATTCTCAAACACTTAGACAACAACATTAGAATAGATTTCCAATGGGTTCCGGGTCGTGCGGGGGTTCTCGGCAACGAGATCCCCGACCGTCTTGCCAAACACGCTGCAAAGTCTTCGGTCACTAGTACTCTCAGTTACATTCCTACCTCGTACATCAACAATCGCGTCAAGAAGCAAATCTTCATTCTGTGGCGAGACGGCTGGAACCGTGACACCACCGGTAGGCTCACCTACACTTTCGTCCCCGAAACTGACACTACTGCGATTCTTCGCCGCTTTTACCCTAGTTACACCCGCATTCGACTACTTACGGGACACGGCAACTTTAAGCGATACTTGCATAGATTTAACCTCGGGGACCATCTAACGCGACTGTGGTATTCGGAAGGACCAAACATCGCTTCACTTAGTTTTTTGCTGCAATAGATAAAATCGCATTAGGGATAGTGTAATGAGAGCCGCTATTCTCGAAGGGTACAACTGGCCTCGCAACCCGCACCCACTCATTCACACGCGTACAATGTTCCATCGTCTACTGGCATTCGTATTCCTTAATGGGACTCTCGAGAGCACTCACTCCGGGACAAGGATGGCAATTGGCTTTCCCTCGCTTTGTTTCGACTGTCGGTATATAGCTGCCTTTCAACTTTGTATTTTAATTCTTTTTTCCGTCTAAATTCGGTTAGTTTAAGTTAGTCGTAGTTGTGAGTTAGATTATGGACTCTTAGCTTGGTTTCCGGTTAAGTTATGATAGATTAGGTTAAATTAGATTAGGGTTGTTAGCTTTAGTCGTCTGGTTAAGTTCGTCCTAGGTTATGGTAGGTTAGTTTATTTAGTAAGTTAATGTATAAAAAAATAAATAAATAAATTGGGGTCTCGCTCGTTTGTCTTAGATAAAAGTAGCAGAAGCTACATTTGTAGTTGAGTCTACGTCTGACTCGACGAATGTATTTTGAAGGATATGCTTATAGTTCGAAGTAAATGCTTATTTTTATTGTTTGTTAAGTTATGGTAACGGAATATCTGCCTCGGGCGATCTGCCTAGGGGAATGCCTTCCGGGAGGTCTTTTTAATACGGGAAACTGTCCCTTATTTAGACGTTACAGACGCGGTTAACCCGTCCGAGAGAGGCGCGAACTCCCAGTATTCGGGATAAGAAGACCGCTCGGCCACTGGTGGGCCTTATTTTTATTCACACGGAATATTTATTTAAAACTTTGCTCGTAAGGTTTTGCTTGTATTTTTATTCATGTGACTAAAAGGATTTGCTTGAAATTTTGCAAGAATAACGTAATGCTTGTTTTTCTTCATATGGCTTAAATAAGTGCCACTAATAGTTTACTTCCTTTCGATTTTAATTAGTGAATTTCCGTTCTTTCTATTAGTGTTGCTTAAAAACAGGAATTAATTAACTCCGGCGTTTTCATAATTTATTTATCTAAACAGGTTACGATTTTCCACCCAGATTCTTTCATTTTTAAAGCTTTATTTATTCTATATAATTTTAATTTTATAATGAGGTGTACGCGCAAGTAGAAGTTTGAATATCCCGAGATTGGCCATAGTGTCGTTTACACAATGAAAAATCGTAAAATTTGTAATCGACAGATTTCACTTAAGATACTGAACTACAAATACTGGGAGATTTGTACAAAGTATTCGTTGGCAATACACGAAAATTTAGTAGCAAAGTAACTACGCCATGTTAAATGTCTGTTATTACAGATAACATTGTAATTAATTTACTTTCGTGTCGCGTACCATACGATATATTTACGATACGTTGAATTTTGTTATACTTATCGCTTCGTATCGACAACAAATTTTCCTCCATACTAATATGTTAATTAACTTCGTTTCTCTTTCTAACTTCGAAGAATTGACGTAGGAAAGAAGGTAGAATGATTATTAATATTAGGTAAAATACGAAAAATTCATTTTAAAACCAGTATAATAACTCTTAAGTTTTAAAATTTATATAGTTGTATTATTAGTAGAAAACAAATGTTTTAGAGTTTTACTATGGAATAAACTCAAAATAATGAACTGTAATGAGATAACGAATAAACGTAACCGAAGTAACGTCTGGTGGTTGTCCGATTGTCGCACTTTTATCTCCTAGAAAAATATATTTGAAGTCCAATTGGCGATATTAATTGCATTTACAATTCCAGGAGCGTGACAATTTCCACGATCTGGATATTTTAAAATCCGTAAATGTCTAAAAATATTACACATTTTCTACAAAAAGTATCGTCCAGATAATTCTCCTCTACCCCTATAAAATGTTGTCGACACTTCTTTTCACGCGTAGTATCTAAATTTTCACGAATCTCGAATCTTGACCAGCAAAAGGGCTCCGGACAATTTAAAGAGTGTACAATAAGATGTAATTCGGGTGCTTTCGGGACATTACAGTACGCGTACAATCTTATTGGCAAAATAATACTTTTTTCATTTCTGGACTTTTGCTTTCGATAACGCATTCCTACGGCGTTAAACAATACCGGGAAAGCCTAGCCGAAGGAAAAAATCGTTTCCGCATCAGCCACACGCTTAATTTCTTACGCACGCGTTAACATCCCCGTTATTACGCAACGCCACAGCGGGCCGACATTCGTCAAACGTACCGTACGCCTAGACCAATAAAATTTATGGTAAAAAATATGAATTTAATAGCCCGCAACATCTGTTAGTTAGATTTTATGGTAGCCACTTTTAGTATTAACATTATTTATACCGCATTCTGAATTGCGACAGAGTTACAACTCGATTCGTTTACGAAAATGAAAACTGCTTTCGTAGTAAACGTTGCCATCTTGTGCCTCCTAGCCGGCCGGCTAGGTGCCAATAACCGTAAGTATACCGATTATTCTCCAGAGGTTATACATATTTTAACAATCTTCCTCCGCTAATGGCTAGTTATAACGAAATATATCAAAATTTCTTTTCGTTGTTGTTATACTTTCGCTTGGCTTTTTCTTTTCGCGCTCCCGAAACATTTCTAGGACTCTTTTTATCCGTTTGAGCTTATTTTAAGCAAAAATAATCTTTGGGAGTATTCTGGGACTTTATCGAAAATTTTGGATCGAGAAGATCAATATATCTCCATCTCCCCTTTTCAAAGATGGCACATCTGAATCTCCTTTATCCAATGGGAATATAGACGATATGGCCATCTTTGAAATGGAAAGAGCCCATAGTATCGACTCCTCCGTCTTCCTCTGTGTCTTTTATTGATACCTTCATACTTCTGTTTTATCAATAGTCTTCGAATTGTCCTTTATTATCTCTTTGTGTGTCTGTACCACTGCAGTTTTGCCTGTTCAATTATGTTTGATTTTTTCACTCTATCTCGTCTCCCTCACTTTTCTTTCTACACTTCTTAAAACGTTTGTTTCATTATTTATATCTAAATAAAATAAAAATGGGAATTAATTTATGTTGTTCCTTCACCGTACAATTTATGTGACTTTTAACACTCGAATTGCCATAAAAATTAAATTATCGCTGGGGAAGCGCGAAAACTTTACGTTTACATAAATTCAGAGAAGTAGGACATTGGCGGTGCTTATAATGGCGTTGGAAATTATACAGAATCGGTGGAAGTTTCCATAAAAAAACAGACTGCCGAAGGGCATCTGTGATTCGCGCGAACACGTAACATTACAAATTCATCCGTGGTTGGCGCGCAGTTGCCACAGGTAGGAAAAATGCGTTCAATTAAGTGGCACTCTCGTACATCTTATAAGTGAGTACATAAAAGTGAACCTTTCGCTTACGTCTATACTCGAATCGTCCCGTATCGCTGATAATTGACCAGCATTACGCTAAATAAAATGGTTACCGAGTTCTTCGAATAACATTTAAACGAATGAAATAAATAAAGACGATTGTCTGGTTTCTTATATTCTTTCTTATTATTTCATTCTTATAAATTAACTTTTGTACTAAGGTTTGCAAAATGATATTAATTTTAAAGTTATGTTTAGCTCATCCGGATTGCCTGGTTAAACACCTGTATGGAAATTGTCAGTCTTACTACGATAGATATTTCTACAACTCTTATACACGACAATGCGAAGCTTTCCGACATTGGAACTGCGACGAGAACAGAAATAATTTCCTAAGTAAAGAAGAATGTTGCCAGAAGTGTGACCTAAACTGTAAGTATTCTGGCTTTATCCCATGCTAACACGCGGATTTCATTCAACCCATAAGGTTTATTTTTTCTGTTTTTATTTATTTAGGGTGTGCAAAGAAACAAAATGCTTAAAATCCCAAACCAACGATGTATTTTTTCTTTCGCTTAATCGAATAAAGGAATTTATTCAGTCGTTTGCCTATGTTTTTAAATTCGTAGTAACGACCATAGCCGAGTGAATAAGATGCTAGGCATTGGAGCTATGCCATGTAGGTTTACATAAAAAAACTAAAATTGGAACTCTGTGTAACAAAATTAATAATAATGCCAACGATACGGTAAAATAATACTATTAGGCTATTATTCCTCACGTTTAAAATATATAAAAGAAGAGACTAAAACCTCAAGAATTTTCATTATATACACTTTTTGTATCGGTACCGACGGCATTTTTAATAAAACTATATTTTGGTTTGCAAACTCACACTTGGCGGGTGCGTTCGTTACAGATCATAATTCCTTTCTCTGTCGCTTTAAACTTATATAATGCGACGATGATTACTTCAAACTCTTTATAACGAAATAAACTTTGGTATAATTAGAAATGAAATAAATCTGTAATGCACCAAGCGCGCGTTTGAAACCCGAAATATAGTTTTACTAAAAATAACGTCGGCACCGATACAAAAACTTTATATAATGAAAATTCTCGACGCCACTATTACGGCTTTTGACGTCAGAACGATTACCTCGTCTCGTAGTAGCTAGTTGGGCACGAGCTTCTCGGCTATATCGCCCGGCGGTAAAGTGTGACGTATTGTCACGTAATAGTAATTGTGTTTTTATCGTGGTCGTTACGCGGAGAAAAATGCTTTTCGGTAGTCTTTTTAAGGGTAACTGGCCCCTCTTCGGCGTCACGGACGTGGAGAAAACCCAGAAAGCTCCGCGTGGCCAGCCCGTTGTGGCCAGGCCCGAACCCGCGACCGATAGTTTCCAAAGACGAGTTGTTTACGTTAAGAACTTAATGTTAAACAAAAAATTTTCCGCACTTTATTGAAATTTTTAAAATGCTAAACAACCGTCCACAATAAAAAAATACTGGCGTTGTTCTTATTCTTTTACATTTGGAATTTATCCGACCAATTTTACAAAACAGCCAGTCTTTAATTCCACGTTGATAAAACGCAGTGGCTAAGAAACGATTTAAAAACAAAACATTCTCAAACTTATCTTAAAACCCGAATGTAAAAGAAAAGAAGGTAAGTAAAGTTTAATTTCGAAATCTCTATGATTTTAAACACAGTAATCGTTCGGCAAATTAATTTACTAAATTGTCTAAATCAGGGGTGTTCAACCTGCGGCCCGCGACCCGCATGCCGCCCAAGGCAAGTTCCAATGAAGCCCAATAAACGTGTAAACAAAATCGACAAATGTTTTAATTTTTTTATTATTTATTTATTTCAATGGCATAAACTCAAAAAAGAAGTTTCACAAAGCCGTAAATATTTGTTTATATTTTATTTTTCAGTGGAAAGGAAATATTGATATTTTCAAATACTTGGAGATGTGTGAATGAGGAAGGATTACTAAATAAAGCTGGAGTTGTGACTCAAAGGATTATAGACCCAAATTTGGAAAAAGGAGGAAAAGGACGAAAGGTTAAATAGATTTATTTTGCAAATATTGACCCTTAACTTTCCAACCTTTCTCACTTCTTTATCTTTTGTTCTTTCTCTCTTTTCCCAGCATTTGGGTCTATAATCCTTTGAATCATAACTCCAGCTTTATTTAGTATTTCTTCCAGCGTTGCAAGATTTGGCTACATTGCGCCAAATGTGCCTACTATTTTTTAATTTGACGTAAAAAACATCATTTGTTGCTTTGGCTACTTTTTGGACTACATATTATTTATAAATATATTAGTTGAATAAAAATGCACTTTAAAATGGTGTTTTGTCTCTTTTTATTAATTAGAGACCCAAATAGAACAAATATTTGTGTTTTTGAAATAAATTTTCGTTTGTCTCTCTTATAATATTTCTATAATAAATTTATCTATTACTAAGTAAAAATTGAAAGTGTCCGAAGAAGTAATTTTTTAAAATATCCTTTTTCGTGATAAAGATTTAATACTTATATTTATAATCTAGACATGTTAATCCTTAAATATACTTGCATATTGGGCCACAAATATATATTATATATACTTCTGGCTCGAAATTCTTTGACTTCTTCCAATGTGGCCCAGAGAAACAAAAAGGTTGGACACCCCTGACCTACACCAAGTAGCACCAATCCAATGACCAATAATACAAATTTCACGTTGGCTGTAATCCAGACATTTAAATAGGCAAGTCCAGTTAAAAAGCTGGGTTAATAGTGTAAGATTTAGTCACTAATATAACATTTGTATTATAACTATCAAGCGCAAGCTACTGTTTCTATGAAAACTTGGGTAAAACTCTTTGTTCTCTTTGTTAAAATTATTACTGCTCTTCTCTCTATCCGGATCATTTTAGTTTCAATAAACAAGTTCAGTATAATAAGAGATTGAGAGGCCCATCAAAGACCTAATATAGACCTAATAAATGCAATAAATTCAAAAAAGAATGTTTAAATGTCCATTATATGTGATATATATGTAGACTATATATATTTTATGATGTTATTATTCATTTAATGTGTGATTTTTGAAATTTAATTAGTGAAACAATAAATTTAGATCTAGTCTATTGAAAACAGTAAATAATTGCAAAACAGGACTTATATTTGGAATGAAAATAGCAACTAAATGCATTTAATATCTTCTATATATATTTTTAAATATATAGATTACAGCTACTAACAGATAGAACTTACTTTTACATAATTCATATATAAATACTGCATCTTCAAAAAAGAATGCTACCATTTTAAATTACCGTAACTACATTATATCGGTTATTATCCGAGAAGTATGAAACAAACACCGATCAACAGACTAACCATCCACGTTTAGCCTCCCATCCTCGTTGGCACGTTATCCTACCAAGAAACGGGAGATTGCCGGTGCCCCAAACCAATCTTTTATAAGAAAATATTTCCCCGAAGAAAAATGTCTGTACGCAAGGCTCCACAGAGCCATAACATGCCACCGCTCATCGTATATTACCTCTAAGAAGAACCGTGAACGAAAACGACAACTTCCCACACCGAAGGCACCGTCTACAGTCTATCATCATGCAACGGTCGTAATCTGCAGGAGCCGTAGAAGGAGCGGCAACAGATATGCCACATCGATCTCGGGAAGAATACCAGTATCGGTCAGACACGTGATGCACGCATCGAGAAACCGTAACGGACAGATGCGAAACTTCAGACCATTTACCATGTTTTTATGTACATTGCAATGCTATTAGATAATCATTTAAAATGGTAGCATTCTTCTCAGAAGATCCTTGTATACGCATTGACCTGGAAGTAAAATCTACTCTGTAAGACATTAAAAACATCATATTTTAGAATATAAATGGAATTAGAGGCCATAAAATAAGCAATAAACTTGAAATTCTCTAAATACAGCAATTACTATTAGAAAATTGTGTCATAGAATATAGCAGGCATAATTAGGCCTAACTTCACTGATGAAATTTGTTGTAAATTCGATCATTTCCTTCGTTTTAATAAATTAATTCGTATAATATTCAATAAATACGATACCTTTCGCATGATCCATCACGTTTTCTATCGATTCGAAGAAAATGGTATGATTAAATTGAGTAAATACAAATTGACAAATTTACTTTCATAGCATTCTAAAACCTGCACCGAACTTACTCCGTGTTTATTGATTGCGCATTTAATTACCGGGGAAACGGATTCGGAACGGTTCCGAACAAGAAAACGAACGCGTGGTAAAACATATTGTAAAATTTAATCGAAATTAATTTTTCCTTATTAATAAAAATACTTTTTTTAAATATTAATATTATAAATTTATTTTAAATTATTAAAGTACGTAAATTTAATTTGAATTATGTAAAATTTAAAATTAGTGATGTAAATTTTATTTATGTTAC